TTCCTTTTCTTATTTCCTTTTTTTATTTCATTGGGTACAGGTATATGCATTAGTGCCTCTTACACTGATGTGGATCATGTCTTTAATAAATCCATTCAACCACACCAAGAACAACAGCAGTCCACCAGTTGGGTATTTCCTACTCAAGTTGACACAACAGTTAACTATCACAGCTATTGAGGGTCCCAAGATGAAGTTTTTGAGGTACTTATAAGATTTGAAAAGGAGACAATATAGCAGGTAGAAAATTGATCTTGAATTTCAAGAGAAAGGCACCTAAGAGGTATGTCACCTGGGCAAGGACATGGTATAATGGATCCTACAGTATTGGATGTGGACATCGGAGTCTATATCTGACTCCAGGGATATTGGATTAATTCAGTCCCCTGAATAATCCCTGAAGTGACCAATAGAATATGGAAACTGTAGATTAGATTCCAAAATACATGCACTACTGCCTCCCATTTTTAGAAGAACATGGTGAGGTCTACTTAATGAGAATTCTAGGTTGCAGAAAAGACATGAGATACTCTTAAGTATCTTAGCTGATAAAATTTTGGCTGATATGGTTTCCTTTTCAAATAGTGATCAAGCCTGGTTCATGGTTACATAATTTTACCTCCACCTTTTCCCATCTCATGCTGATTTAGTTCTGTGACCTCTAAGAGGCTATAGAGTAGGTGCTTGCCCATTGACTCAGTAGGTGAAACTATTGCTGAAAGCAATAAGTTGCCATATCTCCCATGATGGATGACAGATGAGAGGCACTGTATTTCCTTTTGTCAGGAAGCCACTAGAATGACCTATTAGTGGTTGAATTTTTCCTTTTTTCATTTGTTCTTGAGGATTTATTTTTTGGACTCATGCTGTCAGAACTGTGCAGCTGTGTTTCTACAAATGTGTCCCACCCACTCTGGTCTCACTCATCATCTGATTTCTACTTAAAGATAAAGTACCCACTTTATACCTCTTAGAGACCTGAGGTTCATAAGAAATCATCCTTATCTCATTTAGGAGAGCAGCACATTTGCTGGGGTCTTTCATAAGAGATTCTGGTGCTCTTTCCATGCAAAATAATTGACTTTAGTCAAATTTGGCTCATTCAAGAACTCAAAGAAGAATAAAAAATGGAATGCAATGCTTCCATAAAGACAAAGATCTTCCCAGACACTGTCATCCTCTTCCAAACACCCGGTAGAATCCTTGTTTCCCCACAATATTCTCTATTTCTCAGCTTTCCTGCTGCTAAGACAAACTACCCAGCAATTCTAAGTTAAAAGAGCAAACGATTTCTTTTAGTTTCAGAGGTTTCAGTCCATGGTGTACTGCCTCTAAGTCAAGGAAATCCTGGTAGAAAGTTGTGGTAGAATACAGCTGTTCATAGATGCTGTGAAACAAAGACAAGAAAAGAGTTCCAGAGAAAGATACAACCTCCAAAGGCAAGCCTCCAGTGATTCAGCGCTAAGTGGCCTACACATCCAAGCAGCACGTTTAGTTATGAACATCAGTGGATCAACCCACTGATGAACGCAACTCCCTCTTGGTCATTTTTAGGAGTCTCTTAAACCAGTCAAGCTGACAATTAAGATTAACTGGGATACATCCCTCACCAGCTAGTGTTTCAGGACTTCAGTGCAAATTAGTCTGGCACATTTCCACTGGTGAGAGCCTTCCTTCTTCTATGTCTTTATCACTCTCTACTTTTCTGCTTCTTTCCAGATCTCAGAATCTTCAGAGGAGTGATGTAATTAAAGTTTATAAGGGAAAAGTTTTAATAGAGGACACATATTTTATAAGGTTATTTTATAATATTTAGCCAAAGAGTCAAATTCAAAAGAGGGTGGGAGATCTGTCCACACACTAGAGACCCAAAGAACCCAGCTAAGGGCCTGGATCCCACACAGTGTCCAGATGGAGGCCTAGAGCCCCTGACAATGTCTCATGCAAGTCTGCATCAAGGATCCACTGTAGGAAGGTCCAAAGGTCAGTGGTGGAAGCTAGAAGGTCTGTGCCAGTGGGATAAAGGATCTGTGCCAGCAGGCTGAAGTATCTACATTGGTGCTGGGAAATGACTCTCAAATAAAATCAGAGTTCCCAGAGAACCACTGCCATCCTCAGTGATAGTGTGGCCCCAAGTTCCTCTAAGACTGAGAGCAGCTGAGTTCGTATCCGGAAAGCCAGTGTAACAACCTTCTCCAGGAAAATCAACAGCACCATCTTCCTCTCTAGTTCCATTTTTATGCTGTTGGCAGCAATCCTCAGGCAAGGCTTCCACACCCCGCACCAGGCTGATTCAGTTCAGCTGGGTGTTACATGTAGACCATTAGTTAATCCACCACAAAGAGTAAATATTTTTAAAACAGACTTCATCTTTTTCAAGGATATCCTCAAATACTAGCCGTTGTAGGAAGTAAAAGTTCATCATTTATAGGTCTGTCCATAATTCTGAGAAGAAAAAAAGACATTAAGGAAGAGAATATTTTCCTTTAGATCAGGATGTTTATGCTTTCTTATTCTTACACTCTAGGCCTCCTGTGAAAAAATTAAAGAAATTCATACCTACTTCCTGATTACATTCAGCATGCTCTCTTTTCTCTCAGACTTAAGTAGGATAAAATTGTCCTTTGGAAAGGACAAACTAGCTCTGCACACTTGCATACCTTAAACTTTCTTAGCTGCAGATTTTTCAGAATTATTTTCCCTACTGTGTATGTGATGTGGGGAAGGGAACAGTCCTCTGGTTCTCAATGAGAGACAGAAGAGAGGGTGGGGAATGCATAGACTACAAGATGCTGTGGTTTAATCTAATTAATTCATCTGACACATGAGACAATGCTGAGTTGAGAATTTGCAGAAGTAGAAATATAGTGCTGGGGTTTAGTGTTTATGCACACAGAACAATCTGGTTTGAGAAAAGATTATTGATCAGTACATCGTGGTAGCCCTATACTTTGAATTTATCTCAGTAGTTATGGAGATAGAGGGATAATTTAAGTGGCAAATTAAAAAAAATCACTTTAGTTACAGTGTGGATAAAATACCAGGTCAATGAGAGGGAGACATTTTGGGAATTCTACTTTGACATTTCATCTTTACTTTAGTGGCTACATTATGTTAAAATTATGACTAATTAGAAAAGATTTGATTGTCATCCATGCTTTTCAATGACCTCAAGTATAATGAAGATATATATCTATATCTTTAACCAGTTGAGAGCATAAAGGTTTATGCTGTCTATTCAGGAGTAGAACTGCTGAAAACCTATGACTATTTCCTTGTGGAAAATTTTATATACATCTGGTAATCTGAGCAACTTTGTTGAAGATAACAATATGTGATATAACAACCACTGTTAATCTCTATCATTTATTTTGAAACCCTATATCATTTTTAATGTCCCTGCTTTGTGTTGTTTGTATCTTGCTATTGTGCTTTTTTTTCTACTATTTTCTTTAAAATAAAAAAGTAGAAAAAAAATTTGTTAATCTGTATGACTGCAAACTCCTAGTCTCTGCATCTGCTTTTGTGCTACAAATATGATTCTTTATTCATTTTAATGTAATATAACCTGAGATGTTAGATTTTTCCAAGCAAATAGATGAATCATAACTTCCTTTGCCTGTATGAGGAAGAACGTGAAGGACATAATCATTATGTAAACAGGATGTTACTTGAAAAAGCAACTGAGACTGTGTATCTCAAGGCTGTCTGGATGGCCAAGTGAGTAGTGTTTCTGGACATAAGCTGTTGGTCTTTCCTGCTTCTCAGCAATGCCTTCGGTGGTCAGGAAATTAAACCTTTGAGTAACAAACACCCCGTCCCTGTTCTCTCTCCTTGGATACAATGATTTAACTCAATGTTTCTTCTCTGTGAGAATATCTCAGCAGATGGTACATAAACCTTTCACTACATGCTTTGTTAAATTTAAGGAATACACTACTACAGAGATTCCAGATAAAAGTTTATATTACATTTTAGAAAAAGATATAAAATGCTTTTAAACTTTTAATAAGATCTATCTGTATGTATTTATTCTTAGTTATGATGTGATAGTCGATCATTCCTAGCAAGAATTTAACAAAAGGGAAGACCATATCATTATGTAACTTTTATTACCCTAAACTGACAGAGCTGTATCATGGAAAATCGGAAGACTATTGGAGAAGTTTTAAACAAAATGTAAAGGACACCCATCTTTCTGCTTCATGCACATATAGTGTTGTAGTTTCTGTATTTTCCTTTGCTCAGCACAAACCTCATAGTGAAATTGTAATTGTTGATTTTTTAATATAAGGACCACTACATGGTTCATGTAGTACCACAGAGCATTGTCAGGCAGCAGGTCAAAACTAAGAAACTTACAAAACATGCTCACACCATCCTTTCTACACATACCATATAGAAACTGCTCCATGCTTGGGTAAGTAAGAACATCTAGGAAAGGACCAGTCAGCAATGATTGGATAGGCTATAAATATAATATTATAGAATTTTTAAAAAGAGACACTGAGAATGGAATCACATTTAATTTTGCTTATTTGTTTAGGGTGATCTTTTAAGTTGGATGTGTTTTCTTTTCCTTAGTTAAATTAGACCTCTGTCTGACACTAAGGTTTTGTGTGACAATAATTTAAACATTATGATGACACTAGGATGGGGGAAAGAGGAAAGAAAGGAGGGGAAAAAGGAGAAAAAATGCATTATACTATGAGTGTCTCTTAGTTCATAGAAAAGAAAGATTTGTGCTAATATTGACTGTAGAATTTCTTATGCCCATATCTTGTACTCTGAGTAACTACCTTAAAGAAAACAATATGCAATGTGTTAACTATTGTTATTCTCCTATTATCATTTTATGATTTTTTTACCTTTTTTCTACAATATAAAAAAATTGTAACAATTTTTGAGTTGCTAAAAACAGAGCAGTAAAAGACATTCAAGTTTTCATAGCCATGTCAATTTTATTTGAACTGAAGTTAGTGACCAAAATATTTCTCTCACTTGTATATCTTCTAAGTGTTTTGAAACACTATATTTTACTATTTTATGAAAATACTAGGATGAGTTGTCATTTGTAAGTGAATTAAACAAGCAGAAGAAATTCAGGTAAGCTTAATAATTATTTGCTTCAACCAACCAAAAGGAAGAAAAGTCGACGGCTCTAATCAAAACCAAGTGGAGAACAGTTGCGTTCCAATCTCTTTGCCATCTCAGTTGTGACTTTATAGCCCAAAGAAAATGCACTGGCTTACATGACATAACTGTGGCTGGTAGATCTGCAGTGTGACCTTGGGCAAAATCTAAAAGAATGTAATAGATCAGAGAAACAATATTAACTCTACAGAAATGGAAAAGATTTCAAATTAATATGATAAAACATATTCTGCTTGTCACGAAAATCAATACACACACTAAAACCAATTCTATGGAGAAAGATCAACATAAAAGAATCTCAGTGTTGGAAAGCATAGGAAAAAAATTGCATGGTCCAAAAGGAACGTATTTTTATTTTTACATAAGTAAGGGTTGACATCCGATAAAAAAACAAAAATAATGATTTGCATTTCTCTATATTTTTCCTGTTGTGCATCCAAGCAAGTATCTGTAAACACATCACAGTATAACAATATGGACACTATGTAGTCAGTATTATGGAAAAGAGAAACAATCTGGATCACAATAAACTCTCATTTCTGATTGTTAAATGTGTATAGACAACATTTTGGTATTAGCTTTAGAATTAACACTTTCTGCTCCTTTTCAGGACTGAGTTCTCACCTCCGCCTCTAGTGTCCTAAGAAAACATCACAGATCCAGTGAAAAGGAGAAGGCTGTGCAGAATCAGGGCCCTGGCAAAATACGCAGCCTTGTGTTCCTTGCTAAATTTGCTTAATGCAGAAAGGAAAACATGGAGAAACCTCAAACGGTTGAATTGTAAAAGTCACTTACATATCATTTAAATTATATCTTTAAAACTTAACCTTGCTTTCACAGTAGTTTTACCCTTCTTTTATGATTTGGTTCTGTTGAATTGGGTTCCCATAAGCAAATGCCAGAATGTTCTTAAATACAAGACATCAACTAGGAGTGATCTTCATCATGCTATCATTTTGTGAGCTTTGTGCTCATAAATAGGTTTAAGTTCAGTTTCACTGTACCTTTTTGGATGATTTTATATATATATATATACACATATATACACACATATATATTTATATTTTATGTATACACCACATCCATATATATTTTATATATATATATATATATACACACACAAACACACACACATATACATATATAAAATATGGTGTGTATGTGTATATATATGTGTGTGTGCGTGTGTGTGTTCATAGTGAAAGTACTTTCTTTTTTTTTTTTGTTTTTCTCCGGTACCGGGAACTGAACTCACGACCTTGCGCTTGCCAGGCAGGCGCTTTTGCTGCTAAGCTAAATTCCCAGCCCCTGAAAATACTTTCAATACTTGTAGTATTAAATATATCCAATATTTTGACCACAGTAATTATTAAACATATTTTTTCTTTTGCTTTTGTTGAATAAAACTTTTGATGTCCAGATTACCTCACCCTGAAGTCCTAGTTTAACATAGATTCATATGAGAGAGTCATAACCTCTGAGAACTTTTGTTCTTTGCTGATTACCATTCCCCGTGTTTGAAATTACTGGAATTCTAATGTCCAGATCTGTGAAATGGTACAGACTTTTGTAGCCACACAATGGCATTTGGAGACTAGAGGCAGGAGGTATGGAAGGAAAGGAAGCTGGTGGAAAACAGACTTCACAGAACTCAGAGAGTAGGTTTCTTCCTTCAGTTTCTGCCTGTCAGCCCACTTTCTCTTGTGAGATCAAGAATATGTATCACAGTCCTGTGGGTTGCTCACTGGATTTTAATCTTAAGAGAAAATTCCATGGAGACTAGTAGAAACAATATATGTTTGTTGAATGAATTATTATATGAATAAATGTGACACTGATGGATTTCTTGATTAATTATTCATAAGTAAGAGGAGAAATTTTTTCCTGTTCAGCATTTCAGCTCATTTAATAGAGACTTATTCTTTCTTCCTTCCCGTGGATTACACTTTCAGCTGTGCTTATCTGTACCCCCACAATAAAAACTGCTGTTCTAAAGTTAGTGTTAAGAAACAGGTAATGTACATTAAAAATACTTAAAACACAAGTGACAGCTTCCTCACTGAAAGTTATAAATGACATGTTAATTTTGGTCTTTAATCTTTATCCACTGGATCTTTTTAAGAAGCACTGTAGGATCATATAACTGGTGGAAATTTCTTTGCCAGAAAAGGACAGTCTGAGCTGTAGACATAATTTAACAGTGTGTAGCGATCTTCTCATTTTCAATCTATTTCAGAAGAAGAGAAAGACAGATACAAGTAAGCTGGAGCTCTGGGGATGCCCGCTGCCTGTGACTGGAAGCAAATGTGTATTGTGATTCAAAAAATGGTGAGCGACCAGATGACCAGTGATTTCCATTGCTCGGGCTCACCAGACACCTGGAACTACCGGCCACACAGTTTGTGTTAACGGCCACGATGGAGAAATGGATTCTTGAATCAGAGACAAGGTTTTAGCAAAGATGCAAAGTTTAAACACTTTTTAAAGTAATTTAAATAAACTTAGAGGAGAGCATGGAGAATACTTTTCTCTTAAAATAAAGTATCACAGACATTTGTTTATTTTTTAGTATAAATGTGTTTTTAAATTCAATTTCAATTTTAATCAGGCATATATGTGACACAGACATTGCAACGGTTGTGGTAATGTATATCTTATGGTGTCAAAAGGTCTTTTTCACCATTATTCTTACTAATATAAAATGTATTAGAAGGATGAAATCTACAGAACAGGACCTCCCAGTTGTGGTGAACTTTATAATGAATTTAATTTTATAATAAATCAGAATGCATATTTTTTCACTTATTTTTTATCCCTTGCAATTAGAAAAATAGAGAATAATTAACATGCAATGGGAATGTTAAATCTCCACCCCGCCTACAATATCACTTGTAGGTTTACATAGAGAGAGGTAATTAAACATGTACAGAAATGGAGATATTACTACATTTGCATCTTTTTATAAATGTGGCTTATAAATCTTGAGATTTCAATTCTTTCTGCTGTTCTGGGTATTTTGACTCATATTTTATTCCCCTTTTCCAAGAAGATACTCAAATATGTAAGAGCTTGGTTAAGTCATTTGTTTTCTTATTGTGGAGTTTGAAGATGTTTTGTATGATAAGGATAATAATCCTCTGTCAGACACACATTTCACAAGGATTTTTCCCAGGATATGATCTGTTTATTCACTGACATTGTCTTTGGCAGAGAAAATATTTATTTTTATAAAAGTGTCATCGATCATTTATTTCATGGACTATACATTCAATATTACATCTTAAAAGACATTAGCTCACAAATAGGATTTTCTTATGTAGGTTTATAGAAATTTTATAGCTTTTAATTTTGTGTTTAACTCTGTGATACATTTTGAGCCAAGTTTTGTGAAGGGTTTAAAATCTCTTCACAGGCATTTTTTTTTTTTGCATGTGAGTAGTTTGTTGTTCCAGTGGCATTTATCAGAAAGGCTATCTGTCCTCATTTTTATTACACCTGTTCCTAAAAAATAAATCAGTCTACTGTATGTATATGTATCTATTTCATGGATCTCCATTGATCTATTACTCTATTCTCTCACCAAGATTTAATTGTCTTGGTTACTGTACCTCTATATTCCATCTTTTTTTTGGGGGGGGGATTTTTTTTTTGTTCCAATATCAGGAATCGAACTCATGACCTTGTACTTGCCAGGCAGGTGCTGTGCAGCTGAGCTAAATCCCCAGCCCCTGTATAGTCCATCTTGAAGTCAGTCCTATTGTTCTTACTTACAAATGACATCTCTGATAAAGAAATGCACTTTTTAGTACTATTACTTTTTAAAATTTTTATTAGTACATGTTGCCATACATAATGTTCAAATTTGTTATGGGAACTTGATACAGACACATAACATACCTTAATTCTTTTTTTAAAATCCATTCCTCCTCCTCCCTCCCCACTCCCTCATCTCTTAATTCCCTTCCCCATTTAAGAATAATCTATACTTCCTATTATCTATGTTTTATTTTTCTCTTTATTTATAATTTAATTTTCTCATATAAGAGAAACCATGAAATATTTAAGCTTGTATGTGTGATTTCACTTAACATAATGAAATCAAGGTATCTCCATTTTTTTTTAGAAACTATTTATTTATCTTTCTTTATGGCAGAGTAGTACTCCATTGTTGGTAAACACTACATTTTCTTTATCCATTTATCTACAGGTGGATACATAGGCTGCTTGTAAGATTTAGCTATTATGAGTTGTGCAATTATAAACATGGGTATGCATCTATCTCTATAATTTGATCTCTTTAACTTTTGGGGAAAGATACCTAGGAGGGGAATACCTGGGATCAATAGAATATCTAGTTTTAGGTTTTTGAGAAATCTCCATGGTGATTTCCACAGTGACCATACTAGTTTACATTCCCACAACAATGCTCCAGTGTTCTTTTTGCCCCATAGTTTCATAATCACAAACAAACAAACAAGCACTTGATCAAACTCAACAATAAGAAAATGAACTAAACAATGGAAAACTAGGCAAATGATGACAAGGGACAGTCCACAGAGGAAGTTGTATAAATGACAAATAAATATATGTAAAGATACTTCAGATCATGTCACTTGGAAATTGCAAATTAAAACAAGAACATATCATTATATGCCAATTAGAATGGCTAAAATTGAAGACACTGATGGCATAAAATCCTGCCTAAAACATGAACAATTGGAATTATCATTCGTTGTTGGTAGAAATGAAGATGGTGCAGTTTCTCAGAAGACATTTGGCAATTTTTTACAAAAATAACACATTCTTACCACCCCATGTCCCAATCCCAAGACAATATTCACTCAGTGTAGCTGGAAACTTGAACCCATACATAATTCTATTCACAGATATTGTTAGCAGCTCTATTTATAATTTCCCAAACTTAGAAGCAACCAAGATGTCTTTCATAAGATAAAGGGAAAGAAAACAGTGACACATGCAGAAAATGAAATATTCACCACCCAAAAGATAAGAACTATCAAGCCATGAAAAACACGAAGGCAATATAAATGCCTAGTAATGAGTGAAAGAAGCCATCCTGAAAAGCATATGTATCGCTTGAGTCGAACGATATGGGTTTCTTGCAAAAGCAGAAGCACAGACAGAT